TCATTCAAAATTTTTCAATGAATATTTGAATATTAAAAGTATTGAACAAATGAATATTCAAATACAAATTTTTTGACCGGATAAGACCTTTATGCCTAACAATCAATGCGCCAGACTTTTTCAGTCTATTCAGATTTTTAGTTGACCCAATATTTGATAAATATACATATTTATATTAAAATGCTAATTTTTTATAGCTATATAATCTTAAACTATTCATATTTATATATACGATAATGTTTTTTATAAATAGAAGCCTAATCATTATGTGCATTTGTTCAGTAAATATACTACATATATGATATACTTATTATAATGCAATTTTTTGTGCTAATATCTAAAAAAAAAAACATTTAAATGTAAAAAAAATATTTAAATATAAAAAAAAAAAATTATATTCATTGTTATCAAATTGTATTATGGTTAAATTCTTAAAGACATTCTTTTATGCATAACAATATAACTAGTGAATTACTATCTTTAAGGTTACTACCAAATCACATTATCTAGAAAAAGTTATCTAAAAATTTTTAATTATAATCTTTAATAGTAACAGTAAGTAGTAGGACCAAAAAGATAATATATACTTTACCTAACAATTAATGCCACCATTATTATATCAAAAAAAAAATCTTTTGTTAGATAGAGTCAGAGAAATGTATATGTTTAATATAATATTGCATACCTTAACTAATTTAAAAAATGAGTGTTGTGTGTATGCTCTTTCCAAGTCTTCGGCATGGTTATTCTTCTACGATAAGCTTCAATTTGTTCTACCATTGTATTAACTGATCGAAAGTTTTTTTCTATGCTTTTGCCCCATTTAATATTTTTTATATCTTTATGTTCATATAATAGATCAAGTGCTTTTTTTGTCATATTGATTAATCGATTGAAAAAAGCATCTGAATCTTTTTCAACCTGATCATTATTTATATTCATCAAAAAACTTACTGTTTGTACTGAACTAGTGGCTTGAGCTTTAGTTGTTTCAATTTGATTAATTTGATTATCTTCAATCTGATTATTAATCTTATTATTATTATCAATAATAATTATCGAAGAACTTATATCTTGCATTATAACTAAAAATGGATATTGATTATTTTGTTTAACTTGGTCAAAAAATTGTAAAGATATGGTTCCCTTTTTTTGGACAAGATGTTTGCAGATAAAGAACCAGTTTGTAAGATAATATGGACAACTGCAAATCCATCTTTCTATATTAGTAATATAAAGTTTATCACTATCTTCTTTAATAACCTTTTTTGTCAATCGTTTCCATTCTGACTTCATTGCTTTTCGCCAATCTGCATTTACTCATCCAAGCATAACCTGATCAAATTCACATCTTTGATGTAAAATTACTTTTTTCATAAGAATATAAATAACTAGATCAATTCTTGGGCAGAAAAATTTATAAAGAAAATCTCACTTAATTGTTTTCCAGTGTGATTCTATAAACATCATTGTTTTTAGTACTAAAATCTTATTTTCACAACCTGCTCTCATCCATAATATACATCGGTCTGCACAGTACCACTCTTTCCACAGGTAAATCCAAAGAAAAGGTAACAAATTATTTTTGCAAAAAAAATAAATTTCTTTTACTGCTTGTTCCCAAATTTGCGAACATGTTAGTGCTAAATTGGAAGACATCAGTATTAAGGGATGAAGATGTAAATGTTTATCCATTAATTCCCAAACTAATGTGCGTAATTCTTTAGGACAAAAAATAGTGCTTTTTTGAGCTAGAAGTTGCAGAACAAAAGTTTTGTCAATAAAAGAAAAATACTCATAACCATTACTATGCTTGTAAGTAATTTTTTGTGGAAAGTTATTTGATATTAATCGTGCATTAATTGCTTTTTTCATGTACCAATAGCACAATTGAATTTTAGTATTCAGCCAGGTAAAACATATTTCAGAAATCTGTGTGAAATCTTTGTCTATCAATACGAACTCTGGTATTACACCTTGTAACTTTATTTCATCGAGAAAAATTAAAATTATTTCAGTTCGTATTCCATTTCCTGATTTGCCATTGCTTTCTACAAATAGATATGCAATTAGATATCCTGAACCATTAACTTCTGCATGTAGTACATATAATTCAAGCCCTAAATTATTTTTATTATCTGTATAAATATAGTAAAAAAAAAAAAAAAAATACAGTTATTAATATATATGCATATTAAGTATACGTATACAGTATAAATTAAATAAATAATGAAATATATTATAAATACAAGTCGCATTAATCCCGCATTCACATATATTAATATTTAATTGCTTAAAATTATCAAGAAGGCCTGTTAAAAATCCAATCGCTCGAACTGGTGTTGTTGTATTTACAATAACCTTATAACGTTCTTCTTCAATCCATATTAAAGCAGATTTAAATACATCATTATGCCTTATATATCTACTACTTCCAAAAGTTGCCCACCAATAATGGACTTGCTTCTATACAATCGATGTATCCATACCCTTATCAATTAATTGTGCATAAATCTCCTGTGGTAATAAATTAATATTATTTTTAATATACTGTTTAATATCTTCTAGTACTGCTACGTTATTTGGCTTTGGATGCAAAATATTATGCTCAACTATAATACGAGCAACCTGAAGTGTTAAGTTAATATTTACTTTAATACAACTATCGCAATTAAATCGTTCTATTGTTTTAGTATCTCTTCATTTTTCTGGATCATTATGTTTATAAGGTTTTTTTGCTATATTCACTCTTTGAGAACAAAAATACCAAATACTTGTAGCTTATTTGCCATCATATTTGTTATTATATCTACAATAGTAATAAAATAATATTACTAAAGAATATATATATTTTTTTATTTAAAATAACAACAATCATTGTATAATTATATGTACATCCAAGAGTATTCATCAGTATCGCTAACAATGTTTATCAAATTATTAGCAATTTCTTTTGAAGATTCATTATAAGAAGAGATATCAACAGCACATGAATAATGAATACCTAGTTGATTATTTTCTTTATTGTTTTCAGCAGTTATTGAATTTGTATGCAATTCAAGAAGATTGTAAATATAATCTGCAAGATTATTTGGCTCTAATATTTTATTCAGTAATTCATTCTCATCATTCAATAGTTTCTTATTTTCTCTGTATCTTTTTGCTTGAGCTTGACATATATTACAGGTATGAGAATTTGAATTGGCAAACTCCAGTTTACTTTTATAGGTTTTACATCTGGTACAAAAATTTTGATTAATAGTATCGTTCATTATGTCTTTAAATAAGTAATATAAGTTAGTTAATATTGATATTAGTTTATTAAAAATCACCTAAAAATTAGTTCTTACATTTTTTTTTTTATCACCATTCTTTCTCTTATATCCAACCTTTCCTATTATTAACTTCCTTCTTTTATGCACAACACTTCACACAGCAACCCTACGTACAACACTTCGCAACTCTACACACAGCACTTTACACAGCAACTCTACCCCAACTTTCTTTATACACAACACTTTATACGGCAATACAACAATATTTATGTTTTCCCAAGAAAATTCAAGAAAATGAAGTAAGAAAAATTTGATCATCTACTTGATTGAATCTCTATTTATTGACACACAGTATATTATATCATTATCTGCAAAAATAGACTCGAAATTCTAAAATTACTATGACAGATTTTGTATGTACCGATACCTAGGTTTTATATAAATTAGTGCCATAATTTTATTGGTCAATTTTGTTGATCAGTCACGTGTCCGCACTTTTTTACTGGGTACGCTGGGGTAGTTTGTAAAACTTACCTGCGCCATAATACCCCCTTCTACTTTATACATATATCTACGTACATATATACGCATATATATATATATATACATATATATGTATTATAAAAATTTATTAGTTCTGCAGCTTTTAAGAAGACTAGTTTTTGTATTATTATAGTATAAGAAAGCAAACAACAATTAAAGATAATAATTTTAGTATAGCTATAGTATTTTTAGTAAAAGTTTTAAAAATAATTGCTTTAATCTATGCTTATATGATCAAACGCTTCAATATTAAAAGCTTGTAATTTAATTGGGTGATCAATCTACTATATAGTCACATGATCTGGCAATAATCGCACAATTAGAAAAGTTCTTTACTTAAAACATATTCTACACTGGTGATCATAAATAATGCAGCAAAAAAAAAAAAAATCGTTAGATCGAATTATCTTGTGCAATTCCACATGTATCCTTTTGTTTTTTTTGTTTTTTTTATTCGTGAATAGCGTCACTATTTACTAGTAAAATTTTATTAAACATCAATACTGCAAATGCAAAAATAATCACGCGCGTATTACGAAATACATGATGCATTATTTTTGCTTGTTTTTACTGAAGATTAGATAGCTTATATGTACTACGTGACACATTTTTATAAATAGATTTTCTTTGTCTGATTTTGCATCTTGTACAATGTTAGAATTAATTGATAATCAAATTGGCAAAAAAAAGAACCATACCACTCCCGCCCAAAGAGCACAAATTTTGCTCTCGCTACAAAAAGGTTACACAACAAGGGCTATAGGCCGGACTCACCATATTGCCTCCTTCACCGTCTCCTGTATCAAGAAGAGGTGGCTTGAAAATCGCATGCTTGAAGATTTAGGAAGGGTTGGTCACTTACCTTTGGTAGGTAAACCAACCCAAAGGAAGATTGTTAACTTAATTACCTCTCAACGCTGCTCTACGGCTGTGCAAGTGGTCTCCCACCTGAAAGAAAAGGAAAACCTTGAAGTTTTGGCTTCTACTATTCGTCATATACTTCGTGAGCATGGTTTGGTATCAGGGATCAAACAAAAAAAGCCCTTCCTAAGCGCTAGTTACCAAAAAGCGTGGCTCGATTTTTGTAAAAAACATGAAGGTTGGTCCGTCGAAGACTAGTCAAAGGTAATCTGGTCTGATGAATCTAGATTTCAAATTTTTGGGTCAGATAGAAAGCAATATTACTGGAAGAATCCCAAGGAACTTTTAAACCGCTTCTATGTACAACCAAAAGTGAAGCATGGGGGTGGCTCCGTTATGATCTGGGGTTGCTTTATGTCCTGTGGCGTTGGAGGGTTTTGTAAAATCGATGGCACGATAGATAGTAAGTTGTATCAGTTGATACTTCGTGACGACCTTCTTGGAACCGTGAGGAACCATGGATTAAGTGTCTGGAACATTATTTTTCAGCAAGATGGTGCCTCTTGCTATACTGCAATGTTGATCAAATGTTGGCTTAGAAGGAATAGAGTAAAAACCTTTGATTGGCCCCCCTCATCCCCAATCTCAACCCTATCAAACACCTGTGGGCTGAAGTTGACCATCATCTAAGAAAGCTTCCAGGCAATATCTCGAGTGAAAAAAACCTTTGGAAAAAAATCCAGGTGGTGTGGAAGCAAATCGACGTCGAGACCTGCATGAACCTGATTCATTCAATGCCAGAACAGGTTTGTGACATTATTAGGGCCCGAGATGGCTATACTAGATAGTAAAAGTGTGAGAGAATTAAATAGAAAAAAAAAATATTTTTTTAATGTAAAAAAAAATTTTTTTTATTTTATAGTCATACTGCTATAAAAACGAGCAAAAATGATACAGCATATAAATTCAAATAAAGCTCATGCACCTGAAAAATTTAATTGATTAATTTTTTAAAAAATTTTTATTGGTGAAAGTGATACTATTTACAAATAAAAAAAAAAAAAGTAAAAGGATATATGCAGAATTGCGCGAGATAATTCGATCTAACGAATTTTTTTTTTTTGCTATATTATTTATGACGCCAGTATACTACATATGTAATACATTTGTAGTATAATAAATTAATTAGTAATTCTAATTTCTATTTTTATTGAATTTTGGAATCAAGTGACTCCTCTTCCATTTACCTATATTTATACTTAATATTGTCATTATAATTTACATAACATATTCCATCTAGCCAGGTTATTAAAAACTTATTGTCAATATTTTGAATATTATCTAATCTATTAAAAGGATTATTTCTTCATATTTTGTAGCTTTAAGTTGAAATTCTTTAATACAATCATTGATATCCTTATTTCAACTTGTTATCCTTGTATTGTTTTATAAGGAACACATGTCTGACACCAGGCTAATGATGTGTTATATCAGCTACAATTTGCACATTTTCTATTCTGACTATTTCTTTCAGAACTAAATTTATCAAATACTAACATATATTTATTTGTTGTGGTGTTTTGAGTTAATCCATAAACATTTTTATCTTTAATTAACTCCCCTCTCAAATTTCTCTGTCAGCATGCAGCAGATCACTTCCAATCAAGTTTATGATTTGCAGTAGGCATCTTATTTATTAGTTGCGATCTTTCTCGTGATTTGCCACTTTTTCTTTTAGACTAAAGTGGAAAGGATTTTTATCAAAAAATTTTATATTATATGCGCTATATGAGCTGTTCACGCCAATTATCTTGATAGCTCTGAGTATGGCCCAAAAATTTTTTATCGTATTCAGGTTGTATTTATAATATTTTAAACATCACGTGAATAAATACTTTTGCCATTTGCTTACACAAGAAAATTTGATCTATATAAAATAATATTTATTTAAGCACTGAAATAGTTTCTAATTTCTTTCTAATACTTTTAACTTTTTTGATTTGTCATAAAAAATTTTTAATTTTTTTTTTTAATAATTTATTTATTCTCTTCATTTTTATGATCACTTAAAATAAATACTTGTGCAAAACAATGAAAAAAAAACCTACTCTGTGGTAAACTTTAAGGTAAAATTACACTATTCTTTACATCTTTTTTTTTTTGATATTAAATAAATCTTGCTTGTGTTTTCTAACTAATAAAAATTGAACCTTTTGCCAAAACTTATGTTGCTAATCACGTTATTGTTATAGTAATGCTGCTGTGATAACGATATTATACATATATTTGGTTATTCTTAAAATCAATCTACAAATCTCTTTCTAATGTGTTTATTATCAAATTATCTAATATGAATAATGATCTTCCATGTTTGCCAAATATATAGTAAACTCTATAGTTATATGTTTTTATTTTCTATTTTAATGTTTAAGTTTTTACTGTGCACGTTGCTTATTTTTGTTAGTATAAAAATATGAAACTGTCATGTAATTTTATTAAAGTATGTAATTTTTATTTTCCAAAATTAATTTGATTACTTATTTTGTATTTTAATAGTATACTTATTGTCATGAAAATGTTGTAGTTTTTTATTATTATTTTATTATTTTAATCTTTTTATCTTGATTTTAAATGTGCTTTAGAAATTAGTTGTATTTTTAAAAAAAACTAGTATTAAGATGTGCTTGGCAATCTATCTATCAAAAGCATTAGTAATGCTTATATTATACTTTACTACTATATTATACTATATATTGAAAAGATATAAATACCCATAACAAAAGCACTTACTGTAAAATTTTTTTGATTTAATTTAATTATTTTATTTTAATACTTCTTAAATTTTTCAATCAGCATGCAGCAGATCACTTCTAATGAAGTTTATAATTAGTGGTGATATCCATCTTATTTATTGGTTATAATCTTTTTTGTAATATGCCTCATTTCTTTTTAAACTAAAGTAAAAAGGATTTTTGTAAAATAATTTTATATTATCTTATATGCACTATATGAGCTGTGTATGCAGATTATCTTGATAGCTCTGAGCATGCCCCCAAATTTTTTTTATTATATTTAGGTTGTATTTATAAGATTATTAATTAAATTTAACAACTTTTGATTCTATAGTAAGATGTATGCATTAGTGTAAACTTTAATTGAAATTACTAAAAATATACTATAATTTTTAGATCGTTCCCAATTATAGCTATGTTTCTATAATTAGATTTTGATTTTATTTTTGCATTAATATTATCATTAATTTTTTTGTAATATTTGTTATTTCTATTATTTATATATATATACAATAATAAACTTTATGTTTATCGCTTATATGTCTTATTAATTATTTTTTTTTAATATTAAGGTGACCACTTAGGCCATTGGCATGAGCTTTATTCAGGTAGTTATGATATTATACCCATTTTATGAGAATACAACTAGCCACATATGCACTTTTTGAGTGCCTAATTTAAATAGTCTGCCTGGGTTCTACACTAGCCACTATACCTGCAATCTAACTAGGAGATTATCTATTTAAGCTCTTTGGTTATTTCTAATAAGAGTACAACTAGCTATACATGCAACTTTTAGTT